GCACGTCGAGGCTGTGGTAGCCGGGAGCGGCCACTGCATTCCAGTCTGGGCGACAGAGTGAGACTCCAACTCAAAAACAAAAACAAAAACAAAACAAAACAACAACAAAAATTACATAAATGAATATATCTTTAAAAAATACAAATTTTGCATCATTTATCTCACTAAACTCACAATTCACTGTATTGCAATATTTAATTACCAATATTTTATTCATTTTTCTAGATTTATCTACATGTTATTTTGTTTCCTGTACTTTTGAGATAAGTAATTTATAGAATATTTCTTCTATATATTACATAATTAGCATGCATTTAACCAAGGCAATATAAATATATGACAAATTTGAAAATATATATTGTACCAATTTTTAAAAATTTATGAAAAAAGTCTTGTACTCATGTAAATTCACTTTTTAAAAAATGCATGTGTGTTTGCATGAAAATGAATGACCACAATAGAAAAATTTCAGCATCAATTCCATTATTATTTTTTATTTTGGAAATATAAACACTGAGAAAACTGGTTCATATAAAAATGACATTGATATACCATAGCTCCATGAATTAAAGTTGTTTTGTTATAGTAATAGCACCAAATTATTTGAATTTCTTATCAGTTGTGTTCCAGAAAATATACAATCTATTATCAAAATTATTTTTTTGATCTATTAACTAACAACTTAATTAGCTCCTATGTCATTTGTGTCAAAAGAAACAGATTGAGAACCACTGACTTACAAGAGGATTTGTTACCCAATTATTAGTCATTCTCTTTCTGTGTTCTGACATTGGCATCAGCACTAACTTATACTCTGGGGTACTTTCGCTCAGCAAGATTCAGCCATGTCTTTCCTTGTAAAGAGAGAGTTTTGAAAAGAGGAGTGAGAAAGGAATAAAACACTTTCTCAAGCAGATCAATTTTTTTTTTTTTTTTTTTTTTGAGTTGGAGTCTCTGTTACCAAGGCTGGAGTGCAGTGGCATGCTCACAGTCATCGCTGCCTGGACCTGCTGGGCTCAGGTGATCCTTCCAGTTCAGCCTTCAAGTAGGTGGAACTACAGGCATGCACAACTATGCCCAGCTAAATTTTGGATTTATTATAGAGATGAGGCTTGCCAAGTTGCCCAGGCTGGTCTCCAACCCGTGGGCTCTAGTATTCCTATTGCCTCTGCCTCCTAAAGTGCTGGGGTTACAGGTGTGAGCCCACCATGCCCGGCTAAGCAGATCAATTTTAAGAAGAGTTCCTGGAGAGTTGAAGATCAGGGAATCATTCTTTTAGAACTATTCATTTCTTGCCTTAGAACATATTTTGTACCTCCAAGTACCCATAAACTCCAGTTTAGAAACTGATTTAATGTGTCAGATAATTTTCTAAGAAAGTTTGGAGAGGAGGTATGGGTGGGAAGGTTGGAGAAGTTGTAGGTAAGAAGCCCAACATATCCAGAGAGATAGGTAATAACAAAGAATGGGGGAACCTTGAATTGGTGGCTAAAAAACTCCCAAGAGCCAAGGTAAAGGAATTCACTCTACTGAGGCAGACTGAGCATAACAGAAAGTCTGGAGAGGGACTTGATTTCACCCCTCTGTTCTCAGTGAACAGAGAAGTACCTAGAACACAGTAGGTAACCAATACGTAATAGTGGAATGAATTTCAGTCTTGATTCATATAATCCTAAATATTTTTTTTCATTCAGATACATATTTAGAAAATATAGAAAACTAAATTAAAGCAACTAGGATTGGTTTCCAGTTATAGCACTACACGAAATTTGGCTGAATTTCTCTTAGCCAGGTCAGTCTCAGTCTTGAGAGAAAAGGGAGAGAAGCTGTTGGAAAAGGGGACAGTGGGTAGGAAGCAGCCTCAGAAGCTCAGCTCACTGTCTGCTCACTGGTTTGTCCGAAGCCAGTCTTGCTCTGCAGCCCACCATGGCTGAAATTGTCCACTGATTCAAAGGCAAGCTTGCAAGGTGGACCCCTTGTGTCAAGAGATGCTTATGCTAGCTCCTGCCCACTCCTCAAGCACATTTTATCATCTTCATGATTTTTTAGCTCGGTTGCTAAAAACACTATCCTGTTTGTTATTCAGACTGGTCTGCTGTTGCCACGGACTTTCTTCTCCAGCCATGTCAACTTTGGCCTCTAATATCTGCCAGATTATTTCTTTTGTTTTTCTTTATCTTTCTCCAAATCTGTCCTGCTCCCCCTACTTTGTAGAGAGTGCCTCCTAGATAAACTAGTTCTGAGTCACAGTACACAGATCCCTCCTACAGCTCTGAGTATAGCAAGCACTGAGCTTTTTGTTTATTTTTTGGTTTTTTTGAGTTGGAGTCTCACTCTGTTGCCCAGACTGAAGTGCAGTGGCTGCTCCCAGCCACCGCAGCCTCTACCTGCTGGGCTCCAGCGATCCTTCTGCCTCAGCCTTCCAAGTAGCTGGAATTACAGGCATGTGCTACCACGCCCGGCTGATTTTTTGATTTATTGCAGAGATGAGGTCTCGCTGCCCAGGCGGGTCTCAAACGCGAGGGCTCAGGCAATCCACTAACTTCAGCCTCCCAAAGGCATGGGATTACAGGCTGAGCCACTGAGCTTTTGTTTTATTTGTTCTTTTTTCTCCCTGTTTGTTCTAACTTCTAGGCTATGTCTTTCCTCCCTCTTCAGTTTGGAAGACTTTTTCCTCTATTAACACTACAAGATTTTTATATCAGGGCAGCATTCAACCATCAGGCAGCCCCGGACAGTTTAGCCTGAAAAGTAAACATTCACAGCTATAGTAATAAAATGGATTACTCTGTGTAAGGCATCGAATCCTTTTCATATGAATTTA